TCCTGGTCTCGTGGTCGGAGGACAGGACGATCCGGGTGTGGCATCCTGCGGACGACGGGACGGAGGCCATGCGGTACACCGCGGACACTGCCTCCTGTGAGGTGCTGGAGGGCCACACCAGCAGGGTGCATGGTGTGATTGCGCTGCCGAGTGCGGATGGCCAGCTGCCTGTCCTGGTCTCGTGGTCGTGGGACAGGACGATCCGGGTGTGGCATGCTGCGGACGACGGGACGGGCGCCATGCGGTACACCGCGGACAATGCCTCCTGTGAGGTGCTGGAGGGCCACACCAGCAGGGTGCGGGGTGTGATTGTGCTGCCGAGTGCGGATGGCCAGCTGCCTGTCCTGGTCTCGTGGTCGGAGGACGAGACGATCCGGGTGTGGCATCCTGTGGACGACGGGACGGGCGCCATGCGGTACACCGCGGACAGTGCCTCCTGTGAGGTACTGGAGGGCCACACCAGCGATGTGCAGGGTGTGATTGCGCTGCCGAGTGCGGACAGCCAGCTGCCGGTCCTGGTCTCGTGGTCGGAAGACAGGACGATCCGGGTGTGGCATCCTGCGGACGACGGGACGGAGGCCATGCGGTACACCGCGGACACTGCCTCCTGTGAGGTGCTGGAGGGCCACACCAGCAGGGTGCATGGTGTGATTGCGCTGCCGAGTGCAGATGGCCAGCTGCCTGTCCTGGTCTCGTGGTCGGCCGACAAGACGATCCGGGTGTGGCATCCTGCAGACGACGGGACGGGCGCCATGCGGTACACCGCGGACAATGCCTCCTGCGAGGTGCTGGAGGGCCACACCGAGTATGTGCGGGGTGTGATTGCGCTGCCGAGTGCGGATGGCCAGCTGCCTGTCCTGGTCTCGTGGTCGTGGGACAGGACGATCCGGGTGTGGCATGCTGCCGACGACGGAGAGGGCGCCATGCGGTACACCGCGGACAGTGCCTCCTGTGAGGTACTGGAGGGCCACACCGAGTATGTGAAGGGTGTGATTGCGCTGCCAAGTGCGGATGGCCAGCTGCCTGTCCTGGTCTCGTGGTCGTGGGACAGGACGATCCGGGTGTGGCATGCTGCGGACGACGGGACGGGCGCCATGCGGTACACCGCGGACAGGGCCTCCTGTGAGGTGCTGGTGGGCCACATCTACGGTGTGGAGGGTGTGATTGCGCTGCCGAGTGCGGATGGCCAGCTGCCTGTCCTGGTCTCGTGGTCGAGAGAGACAACACGATCCGGGTGTGGCATGCTGCGTACGACGGGACGGGCGCCATGCGGTACACCGCGGACAGTGCCTCCTGTGAGGTGCTGGAGAGCCACACCGACGATGTGGAGGGTGTGATTGCGCTGCCGAGTGCGGATGGCCAGCTGCCTGTCCTGGTCTCGTGGTCGTGGGACAGTACGATCCGGGTGTGGCATGCTGCGGACGACGGGACGGGCGCCATGCGGTACACCGCGGACAGGGACTCCTGTGAGGTGCTGGAGGGCCACACCAGCGGTGTGGAGGGTGTGATTGCGCTGCCGAGTACAGATGGCCAGCTGCCGGTCCTGGTCTCGTGGTCGCGGGACAGGACGATCCGGGTGTGGCATGCTGCGGACGACGGGATGGGCGCCATGCGGTACACCGCGGACAGTGCCTCCTGTGAGGTGCTGGAGGGCCACACCGACGATGTGCATGGTGTGATTGCGCTGCCGAGTGCGGATGGCCAGCTGCCTGTCCTGGTCTCGTGGTCGTGGGAAGACACGATCCGGGTGTGGCATGCTGCGGACGACGAGATGGGTGCCATGCGGTACACCGCGGACAATGCCTCCTGTGAGGTGCTGGAGGGCCACACCTACAGTGTGCGGGGTGTGATTGCGCTGCCGAGTGCGGATGGCCAGCTGCCCGTCCTGGCCTCCCACTCAGATTCCGACGAGACGTTCGAGTGGCACCCCTCCCCCACCGGCTACGCCCTCCACGCCCGCCACTCCCTCCCCTTTTCGCTCCACGCCCTCTGCTCCACCTCCACCCACCCACGCAACAACTCCACTCGCATCACCATTGCCAACCACACCGGCCTCTCCATCCCCCACCCCTCCGACCCCAACCGCCTCCTCACCGTATTCTCCAACCGCCCCCCCATCATCCTCCGCCGCCACCCATAACACCCACCGCCTTTACTCCCCCCAGCACCGCGTCCGCATCCTCGCTGCCGCCAGCACATCTGCAGCCTCCTGCGCCATGGGCCTCACCAGCGGATCGACCGACCAACACCGCCGGATGAATCACCCGCCATCGCACTAGCAGCGTTGCTGGTGAGGACCTGACGGCCGACCCCCATGGCATTGCTGCCATCAAACGCCGGCGCCCGCATGAGCATCTCGTAGAGGAGCGTGCCAAAGGTGAACATGTCGCCCTCAAACCCTCATCGGCTCCGCGCAGCTGCTCCGGCGCCATGTACGCCACCGATGGCACCACCGCCATCGTCCCCCGGTTGCTCTTGATGACCATCCGTTCGCTCTTGTGGTCCACCACCACGTCGTGCCCGCCGCCCGTGATCGAGTGGACCTCGGCGAGCGCACGCGCCAGTGCCAGCTTGATGCTCAGCGCCCACACGTGATCGAGGCCCGAGCCCGAGCTCAGCTAACAGCGGCGTCCGAGCCCGGCCAGCCCGCTTCTGCTCCCGCTGCAACGACCGATCGTGCGGCCGCCCACGAGAAAGGCCTCGGCAAGGAGCTCCTCCAGCGGCCCGGAGCCGATGCGCGCGTAGATCACATGTGGCAGCAAGACGTTGGCCATCACCCGCGTGTACCCGCTGAGCGCCATCGGCCCGCCAGCCTCCAACACTGCCTCCATCTCGCGCCGCGTGGCGACGAGGCCGCCCCCGCGACGATCGCGCAGTAGCAAGCTCACTGAGGGTAGCCGCCAGACTCGTCTGCTCACCGTTGTACGGGCCGTAGGCAACAGCCATGCGACGCGGAGCGAATCAAAGCGGCTGCCACCTCGCTCTGATGGCCTCGACACAGTCGGCTCTCCGATCGACGATGCGCGACGACGACGACGACGACGGGGCGCCCTCTGAGCGCCCAATTCTCACCTTGATCTCGTGTGTACGCGGGCTATCGGACGGCGCTCTTGTACACGTGGATCACCGTGCCAATT